CGGGTGCGTGTGCGTGTGTGTGTGGGGGGAGTATGGGAACTCTCTGTACCTTCCCCTCAGTTTTGCTGGTACCTAAACCTGCTCTAAAAATAAGAGTCTATTAAGAAACAACCCACAACAAAAAGCAATCCACTACACGGGCCATCTGGAGAGCGGAGCAGCCAGCCATTTCCAGAGCTGCCCTGGCCAAATGCCACGAGAGGAGGAGGCAGGTGAGCCTCGGAGCAGTGTTCACGTGACCAGTCCACGTCTGCACCCAGAGTTGGAAGGTGGGAAGGGGGTGGGGGAGAGCGGCTTCGGAGCTTTGAGAAAAGGCAGCAAGAACTCAACAGGAAGCCAGAGCCACAGACTCAGGTGTCCCTGGCCTTGGCCGCGCGGCCCGTCCTCTCTGCCATGCGCAGCACTCGTGGACTTACCAGTAGGTTTTGCTCAAATACTGGAAATAGTACATGTAGCAGCCGGTGGAGGGGTCTTGCGCATACAGAGCCTCCCGCTTCTTGGCGTCGGTGATCTCGATGAGGTCCCCGTGGTATTCCACCACAAAATCGCCCCGGGAGAACTGCTTGGTGGCGATCACGCCCCTGCCTTTGCCATCGATGAGGTCAATCTGTTGGGGGGTGATGACAGAGAGGGTTAGTTCGTAACAGCCAGAGGTGCCACGGTGCGAGGCCGGCTCCGGAGGCCTGGGGGTTGTACCTTCATTGGAACAGCTTTCTTGAGGTATGCCTCAGAGTTCAAGTTAGGGCATCAATGTATATTTAAATGTACACCGGGGTGCAACTATCACCACCACCCATCACCCAGAAGGTTCCCTTGTGCCCATTTGCAAAGCCGTGTCACCTGTCTTCTGAGAAATCTGCTAGGTGGGCGTTGCCCCATTTTGCGGGTGAGAAAACTGAGGCTCAGAGTGGGCAGACCCACGTCCGAGGCCATGTGGCTAGGAAGTGGTGTAGCACGGACTCAAGTCCACGCAGCTGGCCTCTTCGGGGGAGCAGGAGGACCCAGGATTCTGAGTCTCTCCTTCAGGGCCTCGACTTCAGTCCAGATCTATAGATGGTGGGTGGAGACTACAGCTTTCTGCCCCTGAATCCCAGCCCAGACCCGTCCGGCTACCAGAGTTCCTCTCCTCTCATCCACCCAAATGTGTTTGAAATTTACCAGGAGAAAAACAAGTTTCTTGGGCATTGCCACTTCCCAGGAAAACAGAGTTAAGGAAAAATGTATTCGTTTCTCCTTTTAAAAGTTGCCCCAGACATGGTGCTCAATGGAGGAAGCCAGACACAGCAGCTCCCTCTTCTACGATCCCGCCTGTAGGACGGTCAGGCACAGGCAGGTCCAGAGACAGGAAGCTGACTGTTGGGTGTCAGGGGCTGGGGCGCACCTGCTAATGGGGACGGGGTTTCCGGTTCCGTTTGAGAAGATAAAAAGGTTCTGAAGTGGACAGGGGTACTCAGTGCACAACACTGTGAGTGCACTCGATGCCACTTAATGGTGCACTTTGAAAGGGCTAAAATCCTGAATTTTATGTTATACGTGTTTCACCATAATTTTAAAAACGTTTCCTTGGGCTAACATCTCACAGAGTCCACTATGTTTCCGCATGAGTCGCACCTTGACAACGGTTCTGGCATTTGGCCCTTCGACCAATGAACAGTGCCACTAGCCAGTAACCACGAAAGGACTGAAGCAGTGAGGCGTCACTCTGACCTTGCCCACAGCCCGCCCCCTTACCTTCATGCCTTCTTCCTTTCCACTTTCGATCAATTCGTCTAGTCTTCTCCTTTCTTCAAACTGGGAAGAAAACACGGGGCGCGTCAGCCTTCCTCCAGGCCACTCTGGACCCAGCGGGGCCACGCCACAAGGTCACCCAGAGTCAGCCTCCATGACATCGGTCCCCGGGGATGCCCAACCCCCCCAGCACCCCCATCCTTTCCTCACTGCCCATCTGGTGTGGACAGTTTGCCAGCTGGGGCTCCACTGGACCAGGAGGGACACAGAAAAGGCCCAAGGCAGAATCGGGGTGTGGCTGTGTTCTGTTTGGGCCATGCAGTGTTTTGAAAAATATTTAGATTGCCGACATCCAAAATCAGGACTCTGACTTGATACAAAGTCAGCTGGAGCTGACGGGAGGCTGTGCCCATCGGACGGGGCGTGGGTGAGAAAGGCCTTGCACCCCAAAGTCAACGTCCTGAACGGAGGAGCTGGAGAGGAGAGGGGTGCTCGGGCTCACCTGTCCCCAGGGCCGCCCACTCCTGGTCCCCGCTGTCCGTGCGCAAGACCCTGCAGGGACCTG